GTGAGTTCATAGCTCCAGCTTCTGTGGGAAAGCGGTAGAGGCCTCCTCCCCACCAGGAGGTGCTCGTGAGGGCACGGGAGGACTGTACAGAGAGGGTAGGGGTCTGTGGGAAGACGGGCGAAGCTCCCTTGGCCTGTGGGTTGGGTTTAGCTGGGTGTGTGGTTTCCACATCTTTGAGATGGCGTATGATGCCACGGATGGGACAGTCCCCGTGGCTGTGTGAGCTTCGATACCTCTCTCTGTTTGTGAGGCTCCTCACCTGTAAACAAAGTGGCGGGGGAGTCGTTAGGAACAACAGTCACCCAGCTACCACTGGGGCAGCTGCCCATGTGCCTGGCTCCACGTGGGGCTAGGGGCCGCGTGTCCACTGGTCTCTATGCCTCTGCCCCGTGGTGTCACTGCTGTTCTGCTGCACAGGCTGAGGCTCAGGGAGGTGAGGAAGTCAGTGCCCAGGCCACACCCCCAGTAAATGCAAGGCCCATGTAAGCCTGCTCTTTCTTGCTCCAGCCTGGGGTCTTGAACCCTACATGACGCTGCTTCCTAAAGCAGATCCGTGTTCTCTGAGGGTGCGGGACAGACTCCTGGCAGCAGGAAGTGTGGCCTATGCAGTTACACATGCTTGCTATCTTGCAGTTGTTCTATACAATGCTTTGTCCATGCAAGGGCTGAATTAGCACCACTTGTTCAGGATTGCTATTGAGAAATGCTGTAAATAAACTTCAAATTGGCTGGGCATGTTGGCTCACAGCTGTGATCCCAGCACTTTGAGAGGCGGGATAATTACTTGAGTCCAGGAGTTCAAGACCAGCCTGGGCAACACGGCAAAACCCTGTCTGTACAAAAATTTAAAAATTAGTGGGGCATGGTGGTGTATGCCTGTGGTCCTAGCTACTCAGGATGGTGAGGTGGGAGGATCACCTGAACCCGGGAGGTCAAGGCTGCAGTGAACCTTGATTGCGCCACTGGACTCCAGCCTGGGTGACAGAGCAAGACCCTGTCTCAAAACAAACAACTCACTTCAACTTAAGGCATGTTTGTATTTTGATTTCTAATCTTAGCCAGCTTCAAAGGCTGTGGTATTTGAGAGATGTTTTTAATGATGGACAGTGCCTGCTGGAACCCGATGACAGTGAACGAGATGAATACTTACTATCTGTGGCCTTGACCTGCTTGTGCAGTGGCTGGTGTCCTGGGGTGGCCGTGAGGGCCACAGCAGGAACCTGGACTAGGGGATGGGGCTTCAACTTCTGCCATCACCACCTGAAAGATGCCCACTGGGGGACAACCCTCTCCTCTGTCCGGAGAGTGGGTGACGTGGAGGATGCTAAGCCCCCTCTGCTTTCGGAAGGTTTAAAGAGGCAATAGACATCCCTCAGCCTCTTCCCTTCTTAGGAAGGACTGAGTGAGCAAGAAAGGCAAAGTGTACATCCTGCCGCTGCCCACTGTACATCAGGCCCAGCGTCACCCCAGGGTGTGCCTGGATGGGTCTTGGTGGCAGACCAGGGCTGCTGTCCCAGAGGCGTCCAGTCGACAGCTCGGCACTCTCCATGGGTTAGGGTGGGAGAGGCAGTGCTTGCCCCACACTAGAGGCCACCTTCTGTGGGACCAGCACACGCAGGACCAGGCACCCAGGAGCTGCCAGAAGGCCACAGGGGAGGTGGGCACAGCAAAGAGCTGATGTCCGGACACCTCTTGGCCTGCATGGAAGACTCTGAGATGGAGAGAGGGCCGCTCCTCCAGGTTTTGGAATCCCAGTGTTTTAAAAAATAAAGACATGTCACAATGGGGTTCTAAAAATTGGGGCGCCTTTTAAACACTTATGTACACTTCAACAAATAAGAACTTTTGCTGTGCAATAAAGTGCAGCGTCTATAGGCCCCAGGTACCTGGGAGAGGCGAGACATCAGAATCCCGCCATGGGCCGGGGGGTCCTTTCTGGCACCTTGCCGTAGGGCTGTTTTCATGTGTGCACTGAAGCCACACAGTGCACATTTCCACATGCTTCCTCATGCAAACTGTTGTATGTGCACCACACGCCCCTGAGTCCCTTGGCTCATCTGGCTGTAGAGGCTGCAGGCCCTGTGCAGAGACCTGGTGTTTGCAGACAGACTGGAACCTGGGCATATGCTTACTCCTGTGGTCTCAATTTCTCCTCTGCTCTACCTGGCAAGGTTTCGGTAAGGATCAGGGATGACTGATGTGTGGTGTCTAACACATGGCGTAAATGGTCCTTCCTGCGGAAAGTCACTGAGGGTGAACTTCTGCTGGGTTCTGCGGGATCCTGCTCGAGTCCTGAGCTCCTTAGGAAAACGGGTATTGGTTATTGCTTGTGAGCCATGGAGCAGCACCTGAGCTTCAGTGGGCACATGCCAGGGGTGGGCTTCCGTGTAGGTGCCTGTGTCTGCTGCGGGGTCCTGGTTTGTGACACGAAAGTGACGTGTGTTTGCATGTGGCAAGACTGACTGCCTCCGCACAAAAGTGAATGAATAAGCCCCCTGTTCTCACACTGGACTGTCAGCCCATCCCGGATGAATGCTTTAGTGGATGCCTTCGGCGGATCCTTTCATGAGTTCAGATCTTTGCATACGTGGGCTTTTTGGTGGGGAAGTCTGCGCAGCTATTGTTAGAAAGAAGATTGCGGAAAGGTCCAGTCCTTTCTTTGCACTTCGCCTGCTGCCTCCTGGGGATTCTGTCCCCAGTGCTGTAGAGAAAGGCCTTGGGCTGTGCATTTGTAGACAGACGCGGATGTGTAGGGTGGGAGGAGCTGCCTGTCACTGGCTGGCAGGTATCACATGGTGTGGCAGAGCCTGCAATGTCAGCGTTCCCTCAATTCCCAGCATGGCCGGGCCCAGCTCTTGCTGCTCTGGGGCTGGTGCGGGGAGGGGGCAGCTCTGCTGTCTGCAGCCTGTTCCTCTTGCCCTCCAGCCAGGTAGGATGCCTTCCTTGGCCAGGGATATCCTCTCCAGGTCTCAGATCCTCCTGCTAAGGGACCAGTGGACACCTTAGTTCCAGCCCCAACCCAGCCTGTCCAAGTGCCTACCTTCTATATCTACAGGCCATATTGTGCCCCCTCTGGGGCTGACTGGGCTTCTCGGGCACAAGCTCAGGGTCCTGGCTGCCCGAAGCTTCAGGGATTTCCTCCATCAAGACATGCTCCCATGAGTGGGTGTTTGGTGACGCTCTGCCACAGCCCAGCCTTTCTTGGCTGGAGGTTAACCTATTGGCTCCCCTACACCCCAGTCATTAACAGGAATATCCATTTCAAAGGTGATGTAAGGGATACAGGCTCTACAGGCTGGGGAGCAGAGGAAAGGTAGGGTCATGACCTGTCTGACCTGGAAGCTTCTGTCTGATTTGCATTGCCCCGAAATTGATGGGGACAATGAGGTAATCACCGGGAATTGCACTCCCCCACTGAAAACTGAGCCAGCCCCTTTGCATGTCACGACATAGGCACCGTCCCCTGGGCGTCTGGTTCCCATCAGTGTCCCCCAGCCCCGGAGGCTGCCGGGACACCCTCACATTTAACCTTCCCCGCGTGAGGCCGGCTGGGGCCGCCAGGCGGAGGACTAATGAACCTGTGCTCAGAGGAGGGGCTGCCCGCCAGAGGCTGGGAGGGACTTTGCAAAAGGCCTCAATGATCTGTTTACAGTGATCTGAGAAACACCAGATTTTTCTGAACCAGACCCTATTAGTCAACCCCGAGTGGGAAGGGGAAGGCAGGCCAGGCCCCATCCATCCAGGCCCTTTTGCCTGCTGCTTTCAACTCCTATAAAGACACAATTACCTTGGGAGGCTGTGGCGGTTCAGTTGATTAGCACGGTGAATTAAAAGAATGAGTCACAAATGACATGTCCAGCACTTCCATACTGGTTCTTTGTATTCCCATGTGCCTCACCCTGTTGTAAGAAGGTCAAAAATTAGAGAGAGAGAACAATTTTCAAGCGGCTAGCACTTAGGAGCAGAATTAACAATCACTCTGTATGTAATTGCCAGTTAATAGTAAATTGCCTTCTAGACTGTAAAATGCAATATAAACTGGTGGGCACCTAAAATTAAATTAATGAGATATTTGCTGCATTTAAAAGTGAATAGTGCAAATTAATAACTGCGTGCAATGCTTGTTTTAATATTTGTCTAATAGTGTACCATTTGCTTGTTTAATAATAATTAAAATAGTCCCAGAATGTCCTACCTGAGAAACTCGCAGTATACACAAATTGAGCAGTTTCGCATTTATAATTCCACCCATAGAAACGCATCAAATGGTTAAGAGTAATAAAAGAAATTATTTTTTAATTAGAATATAAGCATTACAGTGTTATTTGATTAAGACAGATTGGAATTTGTATGCATCTAATTGAAATTATGTTACTGAAGAAACTACTTTCATAGACACGTTTTCAAGTGTGAAGCATCATGGCACAAATGCGTGTGTTACTGTTTTCTAACAATGTCCATTTGGCAGAATGGTTTCCTATTAAACAAAAGCACTGAGGCCGGTTGGGAGTGGTGGCTTGACTTCTAGCATCATTCACGGGACACTGGGGAGGTGGCTGGGTCGGTGTTTCTTACTCTTGGTTTCTTGCACCCGGATGGTTGATTGACCCACCCTCATTTTAGAGATTTCTTTTGCTCAATTAAAGAAATTATCACAAATTACTGGGAGCCAACATGTTGTTTGAGGCAGACTGAACCCAGTTACTAAACAAGATATTGGCAGTCGATAGCAACCACATCCAAAGTGGACACAGGGAGCTCTTGACTGCGGAATACCTGGACTGCTCCCAGCCCCGGGATGCAGTTACTAGATGGGAACATAAAAGTGATTATTTTCTGCACAAGGACATTCATTCAGCTTCAGGCTTATGAAATCGTTACTCAACCAGTAATTGCTAACAGTTTCTGTTCTTTCTGATACAGTATTTATGGTTTACTTTTCTTCCTTTTTTTTAACTCATATGTACCTTAAAACTGGCTGTGCATCAAGGGACGATGCT